CGCACTTTTACCCTAAGTTAATCAACATTTTATCTCCGAGCTGCAATTTCTGCTCCAGTTGATTCGAGATCCTAGAAAAAAGTTTTTAACACACTTGATCTCTTCTCGTAATTTATGTACAACAAGAAATGCAATTTTGGCATTCTCAACATTAATTACTCCTGACATCTGACGTAATGAAATTTTATTTAAAACTAATAAAATGTTGTCATTAAAAAATCTTGAAGGAGAGGTTCGCGTTAGACCGCAGTAGCGCCATAACCAATTGAATTAAGGTTCATCGATCGTTGTCGGGAATGGTCAGCATAATTGGCATTGAAACGGGAGCGATTGCTCTCGATACGAAATGGATTCACTAGGCTAGGAACAAATGACTATTGCCCTTTTTTGCAGTAGGAAACTTCCTTAGATTCAGATTTAGAGATTAATATCAGTTCACGGTTTTTGAGCGTGACTAATGCATAGTGTTTCGGCATAGGGATCGGAAAAACCATAAAAAATTCGTTTTTTTGGGGGGGGGGAAGTATCGAATTGTTCATTTAAAAACATTTTCTATTACGTTTAACGTAACAATATAGAGTAACATAATTTTTATAAACATCCGAGTTTTGTGACTTCGTAATGGTCGAGCCAACATACAGTATATGTACACTCACGTCTTTTTCCGTGACCGTTAATAGATCGGGCTAATCCATGATCCTGGGAGTAGAGCTTCATCCGTTTTCTAGCCAGAAGATTGCAAGGCTCAAAATATTCATATATCAGAATCTCACAGAATTTTACTGGTTATTGGATTGGATTACTGTAGTAATATTGGAATCTCAAATGATCGAGTGAGTCTTAGAGTGCGGGCCAAGTTTGCTGCCATTTGAGCCATGATTTGTAGGCCAATTGTTCGCTAGAGTTTAATAATATTGTAACAGTCGAATAGTAATTTTTTCACTTGTAGTTGACACACAAAAAGGTAAATGATGTTGTCATGAAACAACAGATACGATTTAAGAAGTTTTCATATCTCTAAAACAAACATTCAAAATAAAAAATCAAATCTATCACACTTGAATCCTATAAATTATGGATCGAATTCAATAGTTTTTCTAGAGACGTTGTCGATTAGAATTTACATATACACGGTACGACTTCCGATTGGATGCAGTATAAAACCATTTATAATTAAATTGACAGAGTTCGCAGGTAAGATAAAATTGACTCTAAAAGACATGACATAACCATATAGAGCAATAATGTGATCAATTTATTGGGGCAAACAACGGACCAGGCCAGGAAACGAATGTGAATGAGAGATACTGGGACTGATGCACACAACATATCAAGGGAAATGTTTGCGACAGTCAGTGCCTATATATATATAGTACCGTTGCAAACCAAAGACCAATGGAGCTGTTGCAAGCAACAGACTCTATAAGCACAGCACAAACTGTGCTTTGGTGATAGTCAAATGCGCGGGTCTTAGCCGGCATCGAACTAATGGACATCACTGAAGCTAAATACTGCCCATGCCGACTGGACATTTCCTCTCCCCTTGCCTTAATGGAAGTGCAACTTTGTGAGAGGTTGTTGTTTAAAGTTGAGGTCTCATTTCTGGAAGCTCATATACGATTCATATCAAAAAGGATAACAGACATTGATTTGTAGTTGAATATCTTGCACCATTTTTTAAGCTCCATGTTTGAAGGTGACGAATGGAAGTTTGAAGTCGCTACCCTCTTAGGCGCTACTCCTACAAACAGAAAACACGTCCAGTGGTCTGCTCGTCCACGCTCCACTAATATTTTTTTGTGCAATTAAATATTCCGAGAAAAATAACATGGAATCCTCATGAAGTATATTTCAAAATTATTTCTGGTAATTTCGACGGACGAATGTCAAATTTCTTGGAGTAACAGGGAATCAATTTTATGATTTATGTTAAATGGCTTCAAAATTCGGAAATTGATCAAAAATATCTGCACAAAATGTCTGGATAAGGAAAACAATTATAATGCTAGGGGCACTTCTTTGATAAAATAAAAGCAATAAAATGTAATAAAAACCCCAGTATGGAAATTTCTTCAAGCAATAGAGATCCAACTGCATCGCTCACACGCGAAGACATTATATTTTTCAATCCATAAATAAGAATGTAAGGTACATATATTCCAGTCAAAATTTATGGCTGAACGGGGATGTAAACATGTAAGTATTGGGGATGGCTGAAACGACTTGACCATTGAATTAAGAGCCAACTGGATACCTTCATGCTGATACTGATCAAAACTTTATGCGAATTTCTTAACACAGAAGCTCAATCGGGCTGCACTGTGCAATACTGGCTGCACGTAGACCTTGTGAGAGATAAATATCGGTAAAAATGTTCGAACTTTGAGATGAAGTCTAGAGAAGCGCACGAGCCGACAGTATGTTAGCCAACGACGGCATAAATTTTATCGGATGTCTGTTGAGTTACAAAAATTGCTTCAAGAAGTTAAGAGTAAGAAATCTTGTTCTGAAAACTTGCGGTAATTTTTTAAGAAATTTAGTTCTGCAGGCGGGCCAAACGAAAATGCTCATACTCCGTAAAATGATAAGACATCCTCTGCTAGAATGTACCAGTTAGATGTTGAAATTTAAACTGCAAACATTCATTATTTTTGTGTTTTAGCTATCAAATTTCATTGAATAAATAGTGATTCAGATTCTAGAACAAAGTTTTCTGGACTGCATCATTCTTAATCTGGAAAAAATAGTGCTAAAATTATTAATAATATTGAATGAAACTTTTGCTTTATTTGAAAGGGATCGTTGAGAACAAAAGATTTGTGATCTAACCATAAATTTGACTCTCACTAAAAATTATAATTAAATTCCGTCTCCGATGAAAACTACCATCTCGTGAAACAAGACCTGAATCACAACGAGCTTGCTTTCTAGTAGCCGTGCTAGCTGTATTTTCCATTCGTCTCACAAATGAGCTTAAAAACGTCGTCGAGTCAAGCGGATTATTCAGAAGCAGTGCTCTGATTATTTAAAATTTGGCCGAGGAGAATTGAGCCGCCGGTTGAAATCTTTCACAAACAATAAATATTTGCAATGGCTTAAATTTAATTTATTTTTAATTTTTAATTGCTCTTTAATTCGAGCCTAATAAATTTCGTAAATTCTTTTTTCTAATTTAGCGTTTTGTTGGGGAATAAATCCAGGGAGGCAACTTTTTTCATTTATCAAAAGCTTTATCAAAACAAGTGTGCACGGATAGTAGTGTTATTTAGCTACCAGATCATTGAAATTCCAGCCGGCAGGTTGATTTATTTAATTTCACTGCATGACTACCAGCAATCTCTGGCCACGATGATGCGCATGGTTGCCTTACATCCAGGCAAATTCATGCAACCAGCATCGTGCACTGAACGAAGTGGCCTGCCTCTGACACCGCCACATGATGCGCCAGCTAAACGGACGAATATTACGCCAGCGTGAAATTTCATCCCCTGACAAAATGCTTTGTTAATTGCAATGATTTATCATCAAGCTCGTAATCTCTAGTGCTTATGACCTCTAATGTAACACAGAAAACATCCCTTCACAAGCTCTTTGATTGTAAGCAGTAAATATGGCGATCAAAGGAAACACAAACGATGAGTGGCGGGAGTGATAGATGATGAATTCATCGATCGTTCTGGAGTCCTCTGCTTGTTCAAGATTTAATTGAACCAATTAAAATGATAGATACGAAAGGAAATGAATGAACTTTATGCATTTAAGTCTCAAATAGGCTTTTCATTGAACAGTTAACAAAAGTTTAACTCACAAAAATTTGCCTTCAGAGAAAATAGATCATATTTTCAATTTATGTCTATATATAATATATCAATCAATCTTGAGGATAAAAGAATGTTATATAGCAGATTGCAAGCGAACTTCTTCGTACGGTGATAAATTATTTCTGGAGATTAATTTTTTCGCGATGTGAAATTTGAAAGTTATTGGTAAAATCGCCATAAGAGAAACGTTCCAAACCGCGCATTATGACTTCTTTATTGAAACCCTCCTAACATTTTTTTTGGGTCGTCCATCTAGTTGGTTCGGTAAACATGGTAGAGGCAACAATGGAAAATTTATTTGTTTTCAAATCAAAGCAATCACTTCCATCAAAGATCTTGCGGTAAGAGCAGCATGAAAATTTGATTTCTGGAGGCTAGTGTCTCTGTAACTTCATGAAGGGATATTCAGTTTAAATAGACCGAGTTTTCACGATTTTTTTACAAAACGGGCCAGAACAATTGCAATGTGCCTCTCTATAGTCCTCGCTCTTGTCTGAATATGAATGAATAAAGCCCGGAAATGATGAAAACCTCAGCTGCGGAACGGAAAACGCTGAACGTATGTTGGAATATTTGTCTCTACAAAAAATGATGAAAATTAATTCATATAAATTGGTATTATTCCCTAACAAAGTGAACTTGGAAAAATTAATTTGCAAAGTTATAGAGCGAGAAAAATGTCCAAAAATGAATTTACTTGCTATATGTACGCTAAAACGGAGAAAATTGCCAAATTCTAATATACAGTAGAGTAGGTTGTAGCAGGGGATTGTGGCGAGGCGTTGAATTCACTAACGAAATCCTTGATTTATTTGTAAAACAAGTCCGCAATGCAGTCTAGATGAACCTCAGCTAATTAAGTGTCATCATTACTCTTGCTCAAGGAAAAACTAAATCTTTCTTCCTATTTTTGGTCAAGTTTTTGATATAACGTTGACTCTTAAGACAAATAACGGAAAACCAATTTAGAAATGTATAGAACAGATTATTACAAGACGATGATCAACTTCATTCTTCTGCACGGGTAGAATCGATTCTCACCTTTATACTATACTTTACCCACCATAATTCTCTATCTGTGATGCACACTGAAAGTGACCAGATCCAATCAACCGTGTATATATATTGTTCAATTTCTGCACATCATAATAACATTTGTAAATAGTAATTAATACTCACCGATTGGAGTCATCAATCCAATCATGAGGTATAGCACCATTGATTGTGTGGAAGACATCGCACGAAACTGAAAAAAAAAACAATCTCACGAATGCACTAACAAATTATTGTGTCTGACTTATTTTTTCCACTTTTATTGCTTTTGAAAGTCTTGCTCTTCACAGACAAACTCATTATCTAAATTATTATGTTCAGCTTCGGAAAATGCTAAATTGCATTTCAATGAATCCCATTGCAGCTGAAGGGAAAATGCGGAACTTCTCATCCTTGTATACACGGATCTGCCAAAATAAAAAAAAGTTTTAAAATAAGCAAGTAAGACATCATTCCATTATCTGAAGATGAACATGTTTAATAGAAGTAAATAATTAATTAGATAAACGTTTTGTTCATTCCCTCAATTTTTTCTCAATAAAATCATTATTCTGTTTAAATTTTTATGGGATATACCTTTTATCCCTACAACATCTAGTCATGTCGTTGAAAAATTGTGATGGTAAATTTTGTATTTCTGTTCGACTACGACGTCATCGCTTCACTTAACATATAATTTAACCTGTAAGTATGTGAAAAATCATATTGCTAGAAAATTTTTGACTTAACATTTAATTTGAAATGCGATGACTATTGAATACGATAATTTCAATATTGAACTCGATCGCAATTAAATTTTAGAGATTCATTGTTTCACACACGCGTACTTCTACTTGCAATGAAAACATTTTTTATGTGAAGCAACACATGGTATACTACTGAAATTTAGGCAAAAAATTCTTCCTACTGCTATCTGTATGTAAGGCACAAGAGACATAAAGCCCTAATTAAAATAGACAATAATATTTCTGAATCATTTTAATTAAAAAAATTTAATGTTTTAGCAAACCTAAAAGACCAATTAGTATTCTAAATTTGCAACTGTAAATTGCCACACCGATGACCTTAGTAGATTGTGGTTTAGCCACTTTATTTACGGTACTTCAAATTTTTAATTATACCTGCTGTGCGATTGTCTGATGCCAAAGTTAGGAGACACACTGATTTCTAATTTCCAATTCGTGAAATGCAAACAATGCCGAAATTGAGGATCATGCTTATCTTCTCTGAACGAGAAAATTTTAGTTAATGAAGAAACGCACTGGTATCAGTTATAATATTGTGTGGGTATGAATACATGGGAACACAATCCAAGAATATTCAACGTTCATATTCATCTCGACACAGATAGCGCACAAAATACAAATTGATTTAGTCGAATGTTTAGTGGAATGCTTTCGTCGAACGAAAATGTCGAGGAACCATTATGAAAAATATTTCTAAAGAGCAGCATTTGCTTCCTAATATCGAAATATTTTTCACATATTATGCAAAAAATATTTCAAATACTTTCATTTGTGCCAATGAGAACACTTTAAGTGTAACAAAAAAGTCTCTAGTAAATTTGTGATTTGACTGATAATGAAATAAGAATAAAGTTTATTGCTGATTGCTAGTCGCTTTCCAAACTATATTTAAAACGTTGGCAACTTCTCATGACATTACTTTATTCATAACGATAAATTATAACTAAAACAAACTTTATTTTTCTATCGAAAATTGAGAATTTGATGACCAAAGCACTTCCAGCAGCAATATTTCTGAGTGACTATTTTCAAAATTTATTCACGCTTCTCATAATTTTTAATTAACTTTTACGTACAACATGAAAAATCGATTATTGAATGAATCGTTCACCCAATGTATTGATGATGAATTGGTTAATTTAAAAGACATTTAAAAGAAAATTGTGGCTCATCTTTGCGATCAATCGCCGAAAGACTGAACGCCATGCAACGCAAAATTATAATTCCCCATTTACTTTCATGTCGCGCATTAATATCTTTTGTAATAAAAATATCTTCTTTTGAAATTTTATTATCTTCATGAGCTAATTTTCAAAGTTATTTTGAAATCACCTAGGATTTTTTGTTCTTCAGATGCGATGGGCCCCTGAATGACCACCCGTGAATCACTGGCTGCATGGTATTTATGGTCACTCGCATGCCATGGACCTTGTTTCCAGTAATGTACTCAAAGGAGAACGGTCGCTTCATTTAGGGTAGTCTGACCGACAATGCTTGCATTGGTTTCACTTGGATAGTTTTGGGGTTATCCCTGCAACACGGAAGCAGACAAGCCCTCAGCACACACCCAACTACGGTCACGGTCTCCAGCCAACTGAAACCTCGACCCCGAACTAGATCCGCCAGGTGACCTATACCGTGCACCCGTCTGTGTCAGCCGTGTGGTCGTACGTACACTAACAGCGACGCTGATGTTATTATAATGTTATCATTAATAAATTTTTGCGTTACCCACAAAATTTCGCTATAAATTTAATTTTTTTGTCAATTATTAGTGTTTTATATATATAGGGGGTAGCAGAGTATTTGTTTAAATCTACGGAGTTCGCTCCGAGCATTTAACTATCTTCTCCTAGTTTAATGAGTGACCGCAGCCATCCAAAATAAAATAGTTTCTATGAAGACACTATCGGTGTACTGTGTAGACCTTTAAAGAGATAAAAATTGTGTAAAATCTTTGGCATGATCATTATTGCAGTATAAGGCACGTATTAGACGCTCAAAGTACTCAATGCTCGTTCTCGGACTCCCACTCGGCCTTAATGAAATTTTTGCGTGTATGTTACGAGCTAAATTGCCCTAAGCTCGTTAAGGTCAGACGAGGGCTTCCGTTGGTCCTAATCGGACACTTAAATGAGCTAAATGGCATGGCGTTGGCTTCAAATATTTAGTTGGCCATCCAAGACGAAGTCAGGGAGTAACTTTACCGGCAAGGTCAAATTCTTGAAGCACAGGACGCAAAGAAAAAAAAAAAGAAATATTTGTACCGCTTCATGCACGTGATTTATCTGCAACATCTTTGTAGTTTTTTCATTTTAAGTCAGTTGAATAATGTAAAAAAGATTTTTTTTAATTATTAATGGTGTCAGAAATCAACAAATTACAATTAGAACCATAACGTGTTAAAAATAGATTTACGCTTTCGTGGAATTAAGCGAAAAGCCTTGGTATCAAATTAATTTTCCCTGACAAATATGATGGAATCTGAGGAGACCAGTGTTCTGTGCTATCTTTAAATAAATCGATTACTCAAAGTTCCAACGATTAGAAGAAAACATTTTATCTTATTTTCAAAAATTCGTGACAAAAATTTTTCTGTGGTTAAGAGTGTGGTTAAAGAGTCATCATAACAATAATACTTTCCGGCAATCAGTTCAGCGTCTCAAGTTTTTATGAAGTAGATTGCAATTGTATTCGCATTAAAAGTGGAAGTCATTCCGCAAATGGAACTCATTCTTGGAACCCATCATAACTGGAACTCATTCTTGTTTTTCTTGTCGCGATTCAAGAAGCCAACGAGTCTCCAGCGCACACTGATCTTGGAATGGAACATGTGCGTTCTCAGCCGTTCTTAATACTCGTATCTTCGTGGGTGTGGAGAAATCCCAGGTATAATAAACTCTTGCCAGAAGGCCCTTGAATGAAACCCTGAGATTCTTCTGCTTCCCGACCAGCAGAGGCATTAAAGATATGTTATGACGTCATGAATAACAAGGGATGATATTGTAGTTCTCCGTATGATAGCGGAAAGATCTGAAGGAGATGATTAAATTTCTCTTTTTCGTCTCAAGTCTTGTGAAAAGTTCTTATAATCTTTCCAGGTAATTTGATCGTAAAAATTTGTTAAAATATTAACTTTATTCGATTACTTACTGAAAATTGTATGCAAAATCTTTTTTATAGCCTTGACGACGGCAGTATATATTTAAGAAGCTAAATGATACACCTCTTTTCAATTATTGCTTGTTTTACAGACGATGCCTTTAGCAATCAAGTATTTTTTATATTTTAATATCAAGATCACTGAGATTGCACAACTAAACATTAGTTCGCTACTAAGATGTTATAACAAAAATTTCAGCGAAGTAGATGGAGTCATTCTTCAAGAGCTGAAGTTAAATCATGGAAATGGTGTGTCATTAGGTACCAATAAGCGCAATCTGACTGATGATATTAGTCCGACCCGAGGACAGGGATTCTTGACTAAGTGCGTGAGGGATAAGTAAGACACTTCCCTCTGTAGAACTTACCTTTATACGAGGTGGTTATACATGAGAGTCATTGTAGAGGTACGGAAGGGGAGATGGCTACGACCGTTAGGTCGGAGGTGCTCTCACGAGTGTTACACTGCGGTTACACTGCTACTTAGAGGGGCAGGTTTACTGAGGTACCCAGCCCTTTATACCTTTATCGACTTCTACTTCCGCCCACTTCTGCTGTCTTGATCACGTGATGTATCACGTGATGTTGTTCATGCTGACTCAGGGTCTAGTATTTTTGCATCAATCTCTTGCGCATCAAATGAATATTACGTCTCAATTGTAAAATATCTATTATTTAAAAATAATTATAATGAATAGAATGAAACGCTGTAGGCTGTCAACCACCGGCCAAATACGTCCAAGCATCGTTCTGATCGTAAGCATGTTCAGCCCGCGATGGTTTTCTAATTACCTTACTCATGTTTATATTTTCCGAGGTTTATATTTTCCAAGGTTCCAACTCATGTTTCCGAGGTAAAGTGAAGTACACATTTCACTCGTGCGATAAGTGCCTATTTACCAAGTTTTTTTCGCATTCAACTCTAACGGTTTCAACTTAATGCACCAGTCTGAGACAAAATCCTAGTTAGCATGAGTTTTCAATAGCCAAAATGCGTTCGAAAAATTGACAATGAGGCTAAAATTTTTGCTGCCTTTCTGAGAAGGAGGTAGGCTTACTACAGATTGTAGCGTTGTGACCATAACAGTTTGTGTTTAATCAAACTACTTGTTAGAACAGAACGTATGTGTAATATTTTCTATTAAGTTATATCGTAATTTGCAATGTTAATGTGTACATGAATATTTAGTATGTTGAATTAATTTAAATAATTCAATTGACTAGGTAACTTGATGACCGACTACTCATAAAACTTTGAGCAAATAAATAAGCACTAAAATCACATACAATATAAATGATATGAATACGTATTCATTATCAGATGGTTGAGATTAATAATTCTGTTAAGCTGAAGATAATGCCAAAATGACATTATGACCGGAGAAGCAGGTAAAAACGAAGGGCAGATAAAAATGCGAACTTACCTTTTTTGAACTTACAACCGTTGTTTTTTTATAAGTATGCTGACTTTGACTTCACGTAATTCAACTAAAAAGGC